CAGCTGGAAACCTCTCGGACCATACCCTGGACCTCATTAGAAACAGGAAGAGGGAGATGCTCACAAATATAGGGACGGACATAATGGAACAAGAAAAGAGAATTTCTCGAGCGAGGGTTGGAAGGTGATGAAGGGAGAAGGGGCGACGTACCGAGCCATCATCTCAGCAGTAGAGGAAGCAGGAGACAGGCAGTTGGCGGACTGTGTGAGATCACTGCTAGAGGAAAAAAACCACCATTGCAAATGTCTAGTGCATACAGAAGTCTCGGAATCCCAGAAGTAGCTGTGGCTCTTTTGAGCACACGCACAATTAATTTTATGCACATGCATGCGCATGCGTACTAATAAAGCCAGCCAGGAAAAGAGATGTCGCCGATACACTGGAGCGCCAGGACCTACCAGAGCCTCCTACGTCGTAACAAAGACGGGAACTTTTAACTCAACATCGATGGCGGCGCGGAGAACGGGGAGATGCCGTCGTACCTCGGCTACTTCGGCAGGACCCAGGACAAGTATCAACTACGAACAAGGGAAGATCGCGACGGGTGAGATCCTGCGGGAAGTCAACGGGGGGAGAGAGTGCAGGAATGACAAGGGAAATGACGGTATCGCAGCTACATCAAGCGTCGGCTAGCCCGTGTCTCTGGTCACCGTTCAAACAGGGTGGAGGTGAGGTGAGTCTAGTCCTGCGCTCTATTATAGTAGGGAGTGGTGGGGGCGGTCTGGGACCTCTTAATGGTAGAATCAAGAGAAGGATATGTATTACTGCTAAGTAGGTAAAGCTCGAAGTACAGTTGCTGGAAAGTGAAGCGACATACAATGTATAACAGTATTATACTCATTTTACGTTGCACGTGGCGGCCAACCTCAAATGGGGTCTGTTTCTGATGACATTCGAGCAGGTTTCGTTTGTGTGCTGCATTCTCATGACATCACTGTCCTCCTTCTACCGCTCTCTTTCTCTCTCTCTCTCTCTCTCTCTCTCTCCTTCTCATTGTAGGTGGCACTATGACTCGTAGTCTCAAGAAGTACATGGGCACCGAGCAGCGATCTCGACTGGGCCTGCCAAAAGGAGATTCATCTCTAACCTGACACATGCGAGTGTTCCTGTAAGACACACTTAGTGTTCCACACTGTATGTGCCTGTGCCGGGATGGAGCTCACACATTCAGGTTCGCTAGATGGACGATTGCAAGTTTCCGCTGTCGTATCTAGTTCCCACATTCGGCAGGTACCACTAGGAGCCCTCGACCTGGAGAGACACCTGGAGTGGACTATAACTTCATCTTCAAAGAGACCTTCCTGGAGATGGATAAAAAGGGAGAGTTCTTGGAGGTCAGGACAGATCAGGGGGGTTTCTATGGAACCCCAAAACCCCAGCAAACCCTGGGCCCCAGTGGCCCCTCCTCCAGGTTAGAGGTTATCAGAGTTCACAAGCTATATAATTCACCAATGCTATAACACTGATTGCCCACACATCACAACACATGCATCTATAGAGCATAGGTCAAGTGGCTTTTTTGCAGATTTGAAAAGATTTAAGACCAGTTCAAGAGCACAAATACCTGAACAGCTGGCTCTTGTACTCTGTTGCAATGTTAAGCATAGAGTTGATTGAGCTTGGGGTCCTCGCTTCACATAGTGCACAAGCGTGTGGATGTGCACGCATAGTGCTGTCCTGGTGCCTGTACGTTAGTGTGTACGTTAGTGGGACCTGGATCAGTAGGTGTATCCACAATTACCATCTCTTGCTGACTGCAGGTCTCGGTGTGGACGTGGGTACAGCAGGACTCCCCACAGTGAGAGCCGACACCCTACCCATCTGGTTGATCACGAGATGAGGAGCTGCACTCATCCGGTACCTCCAACACTGCTGTCAACTACCCCTACCTCAGGCAACGCACCAAGCAGTAAGCTCTTTCTTACGGTCCCTGTGTTGAGTCGGAAAACACAGCATCAATTGTTGTGAAATAGGGAGATATAACATGGGCTTGGGAGGGCGCGGCAGCATGATATGAACATCGCACGCCCCTTGTAATCTGAAGGGGAAAGGGAGGAAAATTAAAAAAAAAAAACAAATCAAAAAAAAAAACAAAAAATATAGAAAAAAAAACAAAAAAAAATAAAAAAAAAAAAATACAACAACAACAAAAAAAAAAACAATACAAAAAAAATAAAAAACAACTAACTTGAACTATAAAACAAAAACAGAAAAACAAAAACAAAAACATTAAAAAAAAAAAAAGTGAAAATAAATAAACAAAAAAATAATACAAAAAAAGAAAAAAATAAAAACCAAAAATAAATAACAAAAAAAACCAAAAAACCGAAAAAAAATAAAAAACACAAACAGAAAAAAAAAATAAAAAAAAAAACCAAAAAAAAATAACGAAAAGAAAAAACCAAAAAAAAAATCAAAAAAAAAAAAAAAACAAAAAAAAAAAAAAAACACATAAACAAAATAAAAAAAAAAACCAATCACAAAAAGAAAAAAAAAAGAAAAAAAACAATATCAAAACCAATAAAAAAAAACATAAACAACAAAAAGAAATAAAAAACAAACAAAAAAAAAAAGAAACCCCGCAAAAAAAAATAAACCGAAAAAAAAAAAACAAAAAAAAAAACAAAAAAGACAAAAAAAAAAAAGAGAAAAAAAAAAACAAAACAAATAAAAAAAAAAAAAAGAAAAAAAAAAAAAAAAGAAAAAAAAAAAAAAAAAAAAAAAAAAAAAAAAAAAAAAAAAAAAAAAAAAAAAAAAAAAACCAAAAAAAAAAAAAAAAAAAAAAAAAAAAAAAAAAAAAAAAAACGAAAAACAAAAAAAAAAAAAAAACGACCACACCAACCCACCCCCCCCAAAACAACACACACAACAATACACCCACCAAACAACCACACCCAACCCACCCACCCCCCCCACACTTGCTAATAACCTCTTGATATCATCTCATAATCGCATTCTGGCTTTTCACCACTGCCGAACAAAAAAGATCATATCAGCAGTATTTAAAACCGCGCCCAGTTATTACTAAGCATTCAGCTATAACCCAGAGACAATATATTTTTGCTTAGGTGGTATATGAATAACTATGTGTTACCTGTACTAACTCAAGAGCGTAACATTCTATTCTATTGTTCTAGGAAAAAAAAAAACTGTTACCTTAAATAAAGGAAAATAAAAGGACTAGATACCTCTCTAAAAGATAAATAGAGAAGAAGAAAAGACTGGAGAGCATAGAGGCATACTAAGGAACAAAATAAAAAATGAAAAGAAGGAAAACAAGTGAAGGGGAGAAGATAGAAAGAAAGGAAGGATAAAGAAAAGAAGAAGAATAAAAGAAAGAGAAAAAGTAAGGAAAGAAGGGAAAAAAAAAGAAAGGGGAAAAAGAGGAAAGAAAAGAAAAAAGGAAAAAAAGAAGAATAAGAAGAGCAAGGGAAAAGGAATGAAGAACAAAAAGAATCATTGGAGGACAAATATACAAAATCATTGGAGGTAGAAAGAAAGATAGAAAAACCTATGAGGAGGAATATCAATGACAAGGGGCTACGTCGAGTCCGCTCTCGCTCTCTGAGTCTCGTGGGTGTGACTGGATCAGGCAAGAGCCGCTTCAAACGTCTAGTTTTAGGTCTTTCCAGTCCAGAGTCAGTCCTCCACACCCAGCTTCCTGCGCCGAGTCCAGCTGTGTCTCGCTCATCTCCATCTGCCAGGGTACGATCAGTGGCGGTGTCAAAGGGGTACTTGTGGGTCTGCAAGAAATGAGTTTGAAAATGTGGCATGAGACTATAGGGGAGGGGTTCCCTTCTTCTTGCATCAGGCATGGAAAGATTCTAGCGGAGCGTTAGCGTTCACGAGCACACAACTGATGATTTGTCATCAAATGATACAACACACTCGCATTCTCCTCACAGACTCGTCGACCAGAGCTTAGAGAAAGCAAGAGCGCGATTCAAAGCCATGTGAACACCTTACGTTCATGCAGCTTTGATGGAAACCGAGATAGATTTAGAGCTTATGCATCACAGCTGACCAATCATCTGCCGTCATCAAATTAATGAATGGACGTCGATTTCATCTACCTTTTAGACAGTGGTGGGCAGCCACCGTTCAGAGAGATGCTCCCACACTTTGTCCAGCAGTCGTCTGCCATTGTCCTGATGCAGAAGCTCAACGAGAGGTTGGACTTTAGACCGACCATCAAGTACCGGGAAGAGGGAGGAAGAGTGGACGAAGGATACACATCCCAACTGACAAACGAGCAGATTTTGCACCAGTACGTCCAGGCAGTTCAGTCTCAAAACTCCAAAGTGTTTGTGGTGGGCACTCACAAGGACAGGGAGGGCGAGTGCGAGTGTGAGACAAGAGAAATGAAGAGCAAAGCGCTGCTTGAAGCTTTCCGGCCAGTTCTACCGAACAAATGGAGCTGTACGAAGTAGGTGAGCCAGAGCAGCTTTTGTTCCCTGTGGACTGCACCAGTCGTAAACCAGAGAATGAGGCAGTGGCTGAAGAATTCAGAAAGAGAGTTGTACAAAAATGCCTGGGGGATAAGGTAAAGATTCCGTTGCCGTGGTTCATGCTCGAACAACTGTTGCAGTTGCTTGCTACAAAGATGAGGTGAGGGTTATTAGCATCGAGGAGTGCTGCGAGGCTGCCGAAAAGAAGCTGCTTATGCCTCCAGATGTCTGCAAGGCTGCCGTGAGATATCTAGGCAAACTGAATATCATCATTTTCTTCTACCGCCCAAGTATCCTTCCGGAGTGGTGTTTGCCAATGCCCAGGTCATTCTTGACAAGATCACGGAACTTGTACACTGCAACCATGCGATGAGAACCAATGTCTCCGACTCGATTCCGTCTTGTATGAAAAGTGGCGAAGGGCTTTGGTTCAAGGACTTTGGTCAAGTCACATCTGAGCTTCTGAAAAATGCCTTTCCGGCGCACTACAGAGATGGCCTGTTCTCTCCGCCGATTTGCTGAAGCTTCTCGAAGGTTTACTGATTGCTGGTAAGCTTTGCAAACGGCAAGTATTTCATCGCCAGCCTCCTTCCAACCCTGTCAGCGGAGAAGGTTGCGCCGTACTCGCGTGACATCACCGGAAGATCCTGCTCCACTTGTCATCTACTACCCCAAGAAGTGGGTGCCGGTCGGAGTAATGCCTTCGCTCGTGGTGTACCTACAGAACACCTGCCGCTGGACGCCAATAGAAGGAGATGCCAAGCCGACGTGTATGTACCACAACTGCATCGAGTTTGAGCTCCCAGAAGAGGTGCCCGGGAGTATGGTGCTCATGACTCGACCAAGTTCCTGGAGATCCACGTCCAAACCGATGCTTGGAATGGGACAGAAACGTTTGCACTAGTATAAGGGACGACGTCATGACTGGTCTTGAGGAGGTTCACAAGTCCCTCCATTACGACTCGGCAAAGGCAGAGGTCGGGTTTCTATGCTCTGGTGTGTGTGGCAACAAGGATAGTGTGCACGTTGCAAAAGTAGTGGCTAGTAAGGAGCTATGGACGTGCTCCAAAGATAAACGTAGAGGAGGGAAACTGGAAGAGAGGCAGAAAGTCTGGCTTGATAAAGGTAAGATTAGGTGTTGCATTACTGCGATTCAAAGCCACGAAGATACATAGGTACATCCTGAAGACGTGGGATGACATGCCACATGTGTTTTCCTTGCGACATTGTTTAAGCTATTGCACAACAAATGAATGTGTTCCAATTCCGTAGTACGTATCTCACATTGATATTAAGCATCTACTGTGTTTACCAGCATGTATGTGTATAGACCAAGGACAAGGAATTTGCTTTTGGGTGTGTTTTTGACCATCTTTTCCTTTTCAAATTGAGACACTGGTAGGGACAGACTATAGAGTGACTATTTCAAACCATTAGCTTGCCGAAATATTAAATGAGAACAATCGATCACTAAAACCTTTTGCCGCCACTAAAATGTAGCTACAATTAGGTATGTACCCAGGTAACATTACACCTGTCCCTTGCTTCAAGGGACACAGCTATTCATTCAGTTTGTCATAATATATAATAGCCTATCCAGCTGAATCCTGCTGTGTGATGTTGTGCACAGTGTCATACATTATTCTCTGTGTCTATGCCTTAATAAGAGTGCAAATAACACACATTCTACTCCCTGTAGGCACCAGTCCACGTTATTCGCTATCATCACATCACTTCTTCTGTCCATTCAGGTCCACCGCCTCCAGTCACTCAGACTCTCCGAACCTTCCTACCACGTCACTTGCCAACGACATGTTCACTTACAAACTCTTCCTCTCTCTCAGACACGTGCCACTGGAACTGCAGCTCCAAAACTTGATGCTGTAATCTAGTTTCGTAAGATCCCTCTGCAGAAAAAGAAATAGCCAGGGAAAGCACCCGCTGGGAATCGCTCGGACCATACCATGGACCTTACTAGACACATGAGATGGGAGAGATTACCCACAACGCAGGATGACTATGGAATGCAGAAGAAGAGACGGGAGAGAAAGAAAAAAGAAAGAAAACGGAATGGCTGGATGGTGGTGGAAGGAGATGAGGCGGAAGGGCCACTCCAGAGCCCTCATCTCAGCAGCAGAGGAAGCAGAAGATAGGCAGTGGCAGACAGACTGTGTGAGATCACTGCTGATGAGATGAACGCACCCATCTGCAATGTCTAGTGCATACAAAGCTCTGAATCCCCGGGCAGTAGCTATGGCTCTGTTTGAGCACACGTACACACATTTTGAATAATCCTGGAACTCTGACCTGACGCATGCGCCAGACCTGCTCGCGAATGCCGCCAGTGCGGCATGCGCGAGACGCGCGCGCGCGCACACCACGACGGCGATCTCTAACGCGCGCGCGTGCTCAGATCATTAGCCACATAACATTACGTATCCTTAACACGTACGTTCGTGGCAACGGCCAGTTCTTTTTTGCACCGGGACACGGCTAGCTAAATAGATGTTATGTGACTTTACTGTGCGACGACATTACCGGATTTCAATGAACCGATGGCCTCCGCGTTTGTACGGTCCCGATCGCAGCAGGGGAAGAAGCGGATGGACCGGGGTTCATTGAAATCCGGTATTGTCCCCCGGTATACGGAAGTTTCAGTACATAACATGTTTAGTGAGAGCAGCAAATGCAGCTCCTTATACGCGCACTGCGTTCCAAAGACAAAGGGGATGAAAGATGCCGAGAAAGAGGAGAAAGGGCATGAGCGCAAGGACCGTCATTCGTGGGGACGAGTGAACGCCGAAACAGTTATGTGATCAACATTTTGTTACAGATCTTGTTGCGGGGGAATGGAGATACATTTCGTACAATTAAATGCTGTTGAAACTTGTTGAAATCAAAGAAAAAACAAGGTTCATATCATGTTTCATGTTTACTTATGTTAGCTCACGAGGTTCATATGGAAATCAGGAACTCGTACGATCGTACTAACAAATCTGATTGGTCGATTCGAATCGCTAGTGCACTAAATTGTTATTGTGAACTTTTACCGTTAACCTCACGCCACGAGGAGCTGTTTGTAGCTCTTGCGGACGGTTGGCGTCTTCCTTTCCCCTCCTTCCCGGTCGAAGGGATGGTTTTGGCGAGAGTCGGCAGGAGTGATGAAAACAGCAGAAAGAATTTAAGTGGAAGCAGCGTCTGTCACACATTTTAAACGACTAAAAGAGCGAGCGACTAATAGTCATGTGTAGGCCGCTGTAGAAGAGTTTGGCTCTAACATTTTTAGACGAGTGGTAGGGTGCGGGACCACACGCGTCTGTGGTATTGGAAGCAAGTGTTGTTCTCTCCGTCGTCCAGCTGGACGCGATCACACTGGATGGTGTAAGGGTAAAGATAGGTATGATAGATTCTACTGGGAGTTCCTGTTGTTCTTAGCCAAAAGAGGGCAAGTGTCGCCTCTGATTTTCTCAACAGTGACTTGACGAAGTCCCTGTCTCACACCCGTTGTGGATGTGTTGCGTAGATCCTACTGAGTTGCATGTAGGCAGTGTGGATGACTCCGCAACCTGCTCACCAAGGGAGACCAAATCCACACGCCACTGGGTCAGAAATGGAAGGACATGGTCCTCCAACATAAGGTAGATGTTGCGTATTTTTTGGAGCCACTTTAAAACTTTCTTCTTAATTTTTCCTCCAAATATACCGGTGAATTTGCAATTAAAGCGAAATGTATGTTACATCGGACTATCAAGACATGGCGATTCTAAAAATCAAATCGGTTTCAGAATATAATTTCATAGTAGTATACAACTATTTTGCTTTATAACCCTCTATCGTAAAACAGCAATTAGGAGTCCGTGATGGTATTGAGTCGACTGAAAACGTTTCTTGATGAAGCAACAGTGCCCAGTTTTTGCCGCAGTCGTGTTCACACATAATAATTACTTAGATATGACAAAAAAGCAAAAACACACAAATGTATCATAATTTGACCAAAACATTCATTTAAAACCTCAAATTAAAACCCTTTGAGTCAGTGATGCAATCATTATGACCTCTTGACTTTTGGCTATTTGTCGGATGTAACCCGCAGCACGTGTTTAAAATGTGGCGACGATTTGCTGGGCTAACATCCTTACGGTAGAAGCAGTTACACAGTGTTTGGCAGCTTTTTGGAATATTTACCCATAATACCCCCTGACTCATAATACCAACACTTACCTTATGGAGTTTGGGTGTGATGGAGACTCCTGGAAAGGTTGCACGGTAGAGTGCCAGGAACTCCTTGGTTTTCCCATCTAGTGAAAAGCATAAGACACATGTGATTATGTTGTTCTGTTTTGGGACAAATTCACCTAGTTTCACGAGTTCTGCGTCCGTCCTTGTCCAAGAGGTCGTGGCAACGTTCATCGGCAGTTGATGTTATAGCCAGACAAAGGGTAGTGATGTTTACCTCCTGTGTGTTGTAATGATTATGTATTTACGATATGATGTGTTGTGTGGTATTCAAACCTTCAAACACTTATGAGCGTGATTGCCAGTGAATGTTCCACCTTAGTAGGCTTCTCTGCAGACCTTCGCAGATGCAAGTGCTTTGTCTAAGGCACGGCAGAAAGGGCCCTCATCGAATTTAAAACCCTTACGGCATTCCTGTTTTGTCTCCTGAATCTTATTCTCCTATATATGAGAGGTGTGTTTTTTAAGTTGTACTCTTTACTGTATGCATACCATAGTGTGCACCCGCTCTCGGGCAACAACAGCTTCCTTTTGAAGCTGAACAAGGCGAGGATTTTGGGCGTCCTACTGTAAGCTGGGGTAGTAACGACCCCATCTAGCATGCTTGCATATTGCTCTGCTTTCTCTTTTTCTTCCCCTAGACGTGTGAGGTCATGGATGGCAGCGGAGTACTTCAGGTATGCTTTCCTGTCCCCTGTGGATCCTGTTGTGTGCTGAGCTAGCTCTAGGTCGAGCTTATGACACTCTGCCTCCAGGAGAGTCCACAACTTCATGAAGATCCCCAAAGAGATGTGGAGATCAGGCAAACTTGCCTGTGAAATTGAGTGAGTATTACTCTGCATTCTGACCCTTCTACCAATTCTGCCGGACTTAACTGTGCAAGGGGAATCGAAAAAGATGCGTGCCAATGACGTTGTTGTAATTTTTGGCCTTTCTTGACGTTCCCTTTTCAAGCCAAAAGGAAGAACAGACAAGTAGAGTAAGCGAGACAAGGAGAGAAACGCCGGTACCTATTATGAACGCTCGCGAGGCCCTGCGAGAGGGGGGGTAAGGAAGTAGGTTATACGGCTGAAATGATGAAAACGGAAGGTGGACAAAGGTATGCGGGACCCTTCCGCGCTGGTTTTTTTTAGCGGTCTTTTCTCTTAGGTAAGTCGTTTATCAAAGCTATATGGGCAGC